TTCGACCTCGACCGCAATTATCCGTCACTACTAACTGGAATAAGGAATATCTACATAGTAAAATACAACGATAAACATATTCACTTTTTATTATTAGTATTATACGTAGAATCAATGCACACAACTTCTGGATATTTTCTGTACAGTTGTATTTGGTTAGAACTACTGAAACATATTCTAGTGGCATATCCATTTTCTAAATGTTCCTTCACTTCGCCTCTCTGTCTAAGCATATCCATTACCTGGTTCCGAGTACAACAACCTGAAATATATTTATATACACTTACCAGTGGAGAGGGTAGCTTTCATCCCTTTGACATCGGCAGCAGTTACTTGCTTACCAGTTCTCTCCTTAATGCTTTCGATAACTTCATCTGCTGACTCACAGTGAAGTATTACGGGCTTCAAGTTCTCTTTTTCTTCTGACGATAATCTCCTTGTCAATGGATCACATACCATCCATGAACTACTACATGGATGATTGTGGAGCATGTTGTAGGATTTGATGACATATCCTTGCTCCTCTAGTCTTACACGAAATTTAGATTGACAATTACGGAATTTAGACCTTAAACATAAGATATTAGTTACAGATCTTACGATTTTTGCCTCACTTTCAAACCTTCCGATTTCCTCTTATGACCAAACGTACAATTAAACGATACAAACAGGTATTTGAACCTGACATCCTTCAGCAATCTGCTCTCTGTGTGGATGTAACGAGTATAAGTAGTCTGAGAAGCGATAAAACTATAATTCCATACTTTTTGGAACTCTTTTAAGGCGCTTTCAAAATCATCCCACAAGACGAAACGCTTGTTCAGTATCATACTTCGAAAGGCATCGGTTAGGTCGACTGAAATGTCACTTGAGCATGAAGCACTAAAAACAGAAATGACTAATTATTAAAAGGTTATTCCTTGCGACAATAATAACCCAAGAAAATACTACAAATACTTAGGATTTACCTGTGACTTGACATTTCGTTGAGCTTTACTACAGTTGTTGGGATCAAAGATCAAATTACAAAGCAACAACAGAGCCAACGTGTACACTACAAAACAGAGAACGCTAAATTAATGGTTTTGGTATTTATTTCGTGCTTTTTTATGTAGCATAACATGACTTATATATGAAAAAACTTGGTACTCATGCAATCCAACCAACCCACGGCAATTGAAATACGGAATGACCGCCTCTAGTCAAGCCGTTCAAGGTCGTTGAAACGAAAGGGCGGGCACATTTCAAAAGGACCTAACGTTTAAACCTTGCCATATTTAGTTATAACGAATGCATACCACTGTTAATCAACATTTATCCTGGTTTCATTTTAATTCATAAGCGGAACTAATCACATGGAATTAAAATCTTAGCTACTGATACGATTTTAATTATAAACGTAATCCGACGAAGGTGAATATGATATGTGGGTGCCTAATCTGCAAGATTGTACGTGGATGTAGGGTTTCTGAATCATTCTTAATTATTACAAACAGTTACACATGAACGTCATTGCTATTTATTCCCATGAAACTAGGAATAAGATGAAAATAAAAATTATGACAGTTTATTGAATAATCATTGATGCTAAAGCAAAAAATCAAGTTTACAAGTTGGTATTAAGAATTCTTAAGTAATAATTGTCCACCTTCTTCTCAACTTCCGTTGCAAAACGTTCACCATACTTCTCAATGATGCGTTGCTTATGGATTCTTTGACTTCGTTGAATACTTATATACACTTCACTCCGTCGTGTTAATCCAGTTAATGTATAATTTTGGAAGTTCTGGGTATTATGTAACTTCCATCTGCTACAATACCTAAGAAGTTGATGAGCTATGCAGTTAGTATTTCATAATTGATATAGCTTACCTGTAAGATTTCGTCTTTTAACGTATGCAAGTAGCATGTGACGGCAGGGATATCGGCACATCATAAACGTGCTACAATTGCATTGACAAATGCTTATATCAACTTCATAATGTTGTCCGCGATCAACCATAAACAACCAATCACCGCTTTCATATTCGACGTAGACAAAACGCATTTGCTTAAGTTCGTATAACAATTTAGATCTAGCGAATGGGGTCAAAATGTTTAGCAGGGGTGTAAGACGCTGTGGAGCATTATATTTATAAGATCTTGCGGCTATCACTTGATCTTCGATGCTTCTTCTAGCTGACGTCAAATCACTCCATATTAAAGCCTTGTACATACACTTGTACAGACTATCACTTTTGCGTACATATCGTTTAATTTGTCTATTCAGCGATTCAACACGATTATTCGTGCTGATACCGAATGTTAAAACATGACCGTAAAAGGCACGCGCCCACATCGTCTTACGTGCCATCCAAAAACGTGACAGGTACTGACCTATCAATCTGTCCCGCCGATTTATTATTCTGTAATATTGATTAAATCTATTGAATAAACACATTACTAAAATTACCTTCCAACCGTCTCCGCAGTTACCAATCGAGTTAAGTAGGCTTTAATTATTTTGTCGTTTGTCTAAGGGCAATATTATATAAGTAACCATTGGTGTACCTTTTTCCGGAAAGCGCGAATTACATGAAAGGCGCACAAAATTATGTTTGCATGTCCGTGTGTCATACGGACAGCCGCGCTTTCACATCTTGCGCAGTCCATCACAAATGTTTCAGTCAACATTGTATCCCCCATTATCTCTTTGAATTGATCTAGAATCCATATAACATCAGCACGCTTTTCCCTTAGAGTCCATGCAAACATTACAGTTCGACCTCGACCGCAATTATCCGTCACTACTAACTGGAATAAGGAATATCTACATAGTAAAATACAACGATAAACATATTCACTTTTTATTATTAGTATTATACGTAGAATCAATGCACACAACTTCTGGATATTTTCTGTACAGTTGTATTTGGTTAGAACTACTGAAACATATTCTAGTGGCATATCCATTTTCTAAATGTTCCTTCACTTCGCCTCTCTGTCTAAGCATATCCATTACCTGGTTCCGAGTACAACAACCTGAAATATATTTATATACACTTACCAGTGGAGAGGGTAGCTTTCATCCCTTTGACATCGGCAGCAGTTACTTGCTTACCAGTTCTCTCCTTAATGCTTTCGATAACTTCATCTGCTGACTCACAGTGAAGTATTACGGGCTTCAAGTTCTCTTTTTCTTCTGACGATAATCTCCTTGTCAATGGATCACATACCATCCATGAACTACTACATGGATGATTGTGGAGCATGTTGTAGGATTTGATGACATATCCTTGCTCCTCTAGTCTTACACGAAATTTAGATTGACAATTACGGAATTTAGACCTTAAACATAAGATATTAGTTACAGATCTTACGATTTTTGCCTCACTTTCAAACCTTCCGATTTCCTCTTATGACCAAACGTACAATTAAACGATACAAACAGGTATTTGAACCTGACATCCTTCAGCAATCTGCTCTCTGTGTGGATGTAACGAGTATAAGTAGTCTGAGAAGCGATAAAACTATAATTCCATACTTTTTGGAACTCTTTTAAGGCGCTTTCAAAATCATCCCACAAGACGAAACGCTTGTTCAGTATCATACTTCGAAAGGCATCGGTTAGGTCGACTGAAATGTCACTTGAGCATGAAGCACTAAAAACAGAAATGACTAATTATTAAAAGGTTATTCCTTGCGACAATAATAACCCAAGAAAATACTACAAATACTTAGGATTTACCTGTGACTTGACATTTCGTTGAGCTTTACTACAGTTGTTGGGATCAAAGATCAAATTACAAAGCAACAACAGAGCCAACGTGTACACTACAAAACAGAGAACGCTAAATTAATGGTTTTGGTATTTATTTCGTGCTTTTTTATGTAGCATAACATGACTTATATATGAAAAAACTTGGTACTCATGCAATCCAACCAACCCACGGCAATTGAAATACGGAATGACCGCCTCTAGTCAAGCCGTTCAAGGTCGTTGAAACGAAAGGGCGGGCACATTTCAAAAGGACCTAACGTTTAAACCTTGCCATATTTAGTTATAACGAATGCATACCACTGTTAATCAACATTTATCCTGGTTTCATTTTAATTCATAAGCGGAACTAATCACATGGTATTAAAATCTTAGCTACTGATACGATTTTAATTATAAACGTAATCCGACGAAGGTGAATATGATATGTGGGTGCCTAATCTGCAAGATTGTACGTGGATGTAGGGTTTCTGAATCATTCTTAATTATTACAAACAGTTACACATGAACGTCATTGCTATTTATTCCCATGAAACTAGGAATAAGATGAAAATAAAAATTATGACAGTTTATTGAATAATCATTGATGCTAAAGCAAAAAATCAAGTTTACAAGTTGGTATTAAGAATTCTTAAGTAATAATTGTCCACCTTCTTCTCAACTTCCGTTGCAAAACGTTCACCATACTTCTCAATGATGCGTTGCTTATGGATTCTTTGACTTCGTTGAATACTTATATACACTTCACTCCGTCGTGTTAATCCAGTTAATGTATAATTTTGGAAGTTCTGGGTATTATGTAACTTCCATCTGCTACAATACCTAAGAAGTTGATGAGCTATGCAGTTAGTATTTCATAATTGATATAGCTTACCTGTAAGATTTCGTCTTTTAACGTATGCAAGTAGCATGTGACGGCAGGGATATCGGCACATCATAAACGTGCTACAATTGCATTGACAAATGCTTATATCAACTTCATAATGTTGTCCGCGATCAACCATAAACAACCAATCACCGCTTTCATATTCGACGTAGACAAAACGCATTTGCTTAAGTTCGTATAACAATTTAGATCTAGCGAATGGGGTCAAAATGTTTAGCAGGGGTGTAAGACGCTGTGGAGCATTATATTTATAAGATCTTGCGGCTATCACTTGATCTTCGATGCTTCTTCTAGCTGACGTCAAATCACTCCATATTAAAGCCTTGTACATACACTTGTACAGACTATCACTTTTGCGTACATATCGTTTAATTTGTCTATTCAGCGATTCAACACGATTATTCGTGCTGATACCGAATGTTAAAACATGACCGTAAAAGGCACGCGCCCACATCGTCTTACGTGCCATCCAAAAACGTGACAGGTACTGACCTATCAATCTGTCCCGCCGATTTATTATTCTGTAATATTGATTAAATCTATTGAATAAACACATTACTAAAATTACCTTCCAACCGTCTCCGCAGTTACCAATCGAGTTAAGTAGGCTTTAATTATTTTGTCGTTTGTCTAAGGGCAATATTATATAAGTAACCATTGGTGTACCTTTTTCCGGAAAGCGCGAATTACATGAAAGGCGCACAAAATTATGTTTGCATGTCCGTGTGTCATACGGACAGCCGCGCTTTCACATCTTGCGCAGTCCATCACAAATGTTTCAGTCAACATTGTATCCCCCATTATCTCTTTGAATTGATCTAGAATCCATATAACATCAGCACGCTTTTCCCTTAGAGTCCATGCAAACATTACAGTTCGACCTCGACCGCAATTATCCGTCACTACTAACTGGAATAAGGAATATCTACATAGTAAAATACAACGATAAACATATTCACTTTTTATTATTAGTATTATACGTAGAATCAATGCACACAACTTCTGGATATTTTCTGTACAGTTGTATTTGGTTAGAACTACTGAAACATATTCTAGTGGCATATCCATTTTCTAAATGTTCCTTCACTTCGCCTCTCTGTCTAAGCATATCCATTACCTGGTTCCGAGTACAACAACCTGAAATATATTTATATACACTTACCAGTGGAGAGGGTAGCTTTCATCCCTTTGACATCGGCAGCAGTTACTTGCTTACCAGTTCTCTCCTTAATGCTTTCGATAACTTCATCTGCTGACTCACAGTGAAGTATTACGGGCTTCAAGTTCTCTTTTTCTTCTGACGATAATCTCCTTGTCAATGGATCACATACCATCCATGAACTACTACATGGATGATTGTGGAGCATGTTGTAGGATTTGATGACATATCCTTGCTCCTCTAGTCTTACACGAAATTTAGATTGACAATTACGGAATTTAGACCTTAAACATAAGATATTAGTTACAGATCTTACGATTTTTGCCTCACTTTCAAACCTTCCGATTTCCTCTTATGACCAAACGTACAATTAAACGATACAAACAGGTATTTGAACCTGACATCCTTCAGCAATCTGCTCTCTGTGTGGATGTAACGAGTATAAGTAGTCTGAGAAGCGATAAAACTATAATTCCATACTTTTTGGAACTCTTTTAAGGCGCTTTCAAAATCATCCCACAAGACGAAACGCTTGTTCAGTATCATACTTCGAAAGGCATCGGTTAGGTCGACTGAAATGTCACTTGAGCATGAAGCACTAAAAACAGAAATGACTAATTATTAAAAGGTTATTCCTTGCGACAATAATAACCCAAGAAAATACTACAAATACTTAGGATTTACCTGTGACTTGACATTTCGTTGAGCTTTACTACAGTTGTTGGGATCAAAGATCAAATTACAAAGCAACAACAGAGCCAACGTGTACACTACAAAACAGAGAACGCTAAATTAATGGTTTTGGTATTTATTTCGTGCTTTTTTATGTAGCATAACATGACTTATATATGAAAAAACTTGGTACTCATGCAATCCAACCAACCCACGGCAATTGAAATACGGAATGACCGCCTCTAGTCAAGCCGTTCAAGGTCGTTGAAACGAAAGGGCGGGCACATTTCAAAAGGACCTAACGTTTAAACCTTGCCACTAAATATGCATTAGGATTTAACAGTGATGTGGGAAACAGTTGACATACCTTAATATGAATAATTGAAATGACGTGGGTTATCAATAATGACTAGATATATATATATATATGCAGTTTAAGGTCAAAGGTCATTTGTTTTTACAGTCAATAACACATTAAGAATGGGTGGTGTAATAGTTGACTGGAGTTCACAGACAGATAAGTGGTGTGAAAATCTTATGGCCTATAAGTGATCCGTGGATTTAAGAACTGAAAACTTGGGTCACGTAATAACTTATTACAATTTGAAGAGGTCACATAATTACAGAGGATTAAGTGAGCAGATGTAAGTGACAGGGTGCTGGAATAAATCGGCAACTAAATTTTAAAAGTGAAATGAATTAATACATAATCCATCTTATTACTTGTTCACTCCATGGATTATAAGGAGTTCATATTCTTCTATATCTATATTTGTTCTAGCGTCATATCGACTATTAATAAAGACGGACACGGTTTATAAAGTAAGACAATAAGTGTAGTTGCTATATTTATATTTCACTAATTCATTAGTTGAATAAAAATGTTACTAGGCAATACGGAACACAGTTAACGTGAACATGTAAACCGTTTTTTAACAAATTCTGTAAGTTGTAGACCGGCGTAAACATCACAAACCTTTGACGACTTTATTGGATTCATACAATTCTGAAAAACAAACAAATCAGTTGTGAAATAAAGAATTAGACCCAGTTATAAGTATCACATTCAATAAGTACATCAAATAGCAGGTTACAGAATGTACCTATAAGTCTCTTATTTGCAGACAGCGCTAATCATTAGAGATTTCTATTTCCTTTAATAATAATTAATAGGTAATCTTTACAACACACAAATCAATGTTATTTAAAAATTGGCATAAACGAGATATGAATACAAGGAACTTGTGATTCTGCTTCCATTGCTCATTCACTTTTCGTCCCGTTGTCTGCATGAATTACTTCGGACGAGTCACTCTGTAATACAGTAGGAATTCATTAATTAACTCATGAATAGTTGTTTTTTATTCAAGTCTGTGTCGTAACAAGCACTGGGAATTTATTCAGTGTCTAACCCTTGTATTATTTCGTACATACATCTGGTATTAGCAAGAAAAATTGGTAAGTACCATTTAGATATTACTCGACAATATGCATCATAAGTTTGTTCACATTTTCGTCTGAGACTGTGCATTTCGTTTACAGAAAATTATTCGTCAACGCTATAACAGACACATCATGAATCAATATTAGGTACGACATGGTTTTGTCACCATGCTCAGAAGAGACAGCCATCGTTTCACTTATGAAGATTTTGTGCCTATTTAATGTGGTGTTATACACTGTTCCTGTATACGTTCAGAAAGCCGGTAAAAAAGACTATCAACATCAATTCTTACTCACATAATTTTTCTCTGATACGTTACACAATAATATGTCACTTCAATACCAAACAATGCTACCTTTAGTGCAAATAACCTTTTATGGCTAAATACAAACAATTTATATAATATCCATAGTTAGTTTAATGCTTACTTCTTTCTGATAACATCGTATAAACGACTGCGAACATCTATGTTTGCTGTCACCATAATCAAGGAGGTGAACCATATATAATGCTTTTCACGGCTTATATTCATGAAAAGTCAATCTGTTTTCTATTTTTCACTAGAAAAATGGTGATTTGACTTGTTTGACCTTGTATTATTAAAAAATAACCATATTACGCCAACTGCATGTTTACTTAGGTGGTGAGCACAAAATACGTCAAACTGCTTATAAATTGAAATAAATACTATCTTCCAATCACAAAGATTACGAGAAGTCACGTATGATGGAAAAAAGGCTGTTAATAGCTGATAAATAACGAAACATAAAATCCACGACAATATGTTACATGTGCGCGAAAACCCGTAAACTAACACACATAGTGTGCCGAAGTCAATCGAAAACCAATGCAAACACAGCGCGCAGCGCAGACCTTCGAGTGTAAACTTCAATCCTCAAAGTTTAAAGATTCAAATGGTTCAGATGACTGTGGGCGGGATAGTAGAAGCTTTCGCTAAACGGGCTTCCGTGTCTGGTAGCAGTGGATCGTCAATATCTCCAGGCAGGAACCTACATATATTAACGATAATAGAGGAAAAAGAAATTGGTCAATCATAGTAGCCCAGACAACCAAAAAAGGGGAAAAAATGGCGAACAAAGGGGAAATAAAGGGGTAAATCCTTTGGTAGCGAAAGGGGAAATAAAGGGTCAAACGCACCAGAATGTCTTCTTTTTCGCCTGTCCGGGGGAAATAATGCGGATTTCCCCCTTTTTGCCGCTTTGTCGATAAATTACTCACTTTTCGCCTAAATGTCCGCTGAATTGTCTACTGTTCGCCTACTTATACGCTTAATTGTCTATTTTTCGCCTAATTACACACAGAACTCCCTATTTTCGATCCACTGACATAACCCCAAAGGTCTCCTATGTTTGCCTTTATTTTCAACAACAGACCAAAATAAATTTGCGATGCACTGGAAAACCACCAGACTTTGATAGCAATCGCTTTACATTTATACTCAAATCCGTAATGGCTGAGGACATTTTACGCATCATTGTGTATAACCTATCAAAGCCGAAAAAGTTCACTTGATGAGGCTGGTGATTTACTGGGCCGCTATAGCACCACCTACTTGCTTAGATCCCGACGTTGAAGGTGATGTCTCTAATTATGTCGAACTAGTTCGTAAGCATGTAAATAGTTATGAAACGTACTTGGCAATTGGTGAGACGACCTTTTCAAACGACCGAAATTTCGGATATTGTACGTGGCTATTGCCTGCCTGCGTTTCAGCAACATCCATGTCTACTGAATTGTAAAGAAAGACTTCTTTACTCTTCAATGCACCTCTAGGAAATAATAGTGTGACTATTGTATTGAAATCTTAGGCTTCTCAGTGTTCTGCGGCAAGGTTTTTTCATCCGCTGAAGTGTTTTTCTGGCGAGATTCCAGTAATTGTAAAGAAACTAATAAATCTTTCGCAGACTGCAAAGAATCTATAGCGATTTATTGTTCCTATGTTTGTTACTTTGTATGGGGCAGAAACCTGGAGAACTACAAAAGCCATCATCCAGAAAATACAGGCGTTTATTAACAATTGTCTACGCAAAATACTTCAGATCCATTGGCCGGACACTATCAGCAACAACGTACTGTGGGAGAGAACAAACCAGATCCCAGTGGAGGAAGAAATCAGGAAGAAGCGCTGGAAGTGGATAGGACACACATTGAGGAAAGCACCGAACTGCGTCACAAGACAAGCCCTCACATGGAGTCCTGAAGGTCAAAGGAAAAGAGGAAGACCAAAGAACACATTACGCCGAGAACTGGAGATAGACATGAGAAAAATGAACAAGAATTGGATGGAACTAGAAAAGAAGGCCCAGGACAGAGTGGGTTGGAGAATGCTGGTCAGCGGCCTATGCTCCATTGGGAGTAACAGGCGTAAGTAAGTAAGTAAGTAAGTATGTTTATTACTTACCTAGTTCGTGAATGATATTACATTTCATAACAGCCCAGTTGTTATCTGGTTGATCGTAGTTTTGCAGGTGGGTTTCGATCAGTTCCTTTGGAAAAAGGCAAAGTCCTTTACCGACAATCCACTCCTTGAATGCTATCATAAGTGCTTTCTTGATTGGTACGTCAACAATGACGTATTGCTTGTTAGCGGGCTAACAATAACGTAAGGCGTAATTAAGTGGTTTATCATCAGTAATTAAACACTAATGAAACAAAATGCATTTACAATAATGTATGCAACAATGGGATTATAACTAAATAATTGATACAACTGATGGCTATGCATTTACAATCAATGTCCTTCAGTGATATCCATGCGTGTTCATGGCTAACTACGGAGCACATAAAGATTCCTATATCACTAGATGGGAAAGGATCTTCAAAGTAATTGCGTGGGTCAGTGAAAGTCCCAAATTTTAGTAGTTCATCCTTCTTTATTATCAGTGACTAAACCTGGTTGGCCGTTTACTAATACTACATTATCAGGCTTAAATGAAGTTATTTTACTATTGTTAAACATAATTATCTTAAAATATTATCCTTAGTCCTTGAAAACGTATCAAGCTTTCCCTTAAAAAATCTCATAAGAAGTCACTTGGACTAGCTGAGCAGGCAGCGAACTCCTGCATTCAACTACTCTTAAGCAGTAGAAGTTTTGTCTACAGTTTGTTCTGCTATGTTGTGTCTCCAATATCTGGGTGTCACCCCTTAGGTTTGTATAGAAACTAAACTCAAGTAGGTGTTTAAAGGGATTTTCAGAAGTGTTAAGGATACTGTAAGCCATTAGAACGTCACCTCTAAGACGCCTGTACTCTAATGGGTAAAGGTTTAGTGATCGGAGGCGCTCTTCATTAGGCTTGAATTTGAGTCACAAAACTCATTTCGTGGCTCGCCGATGGATTGGCTCCAGAGTGTCCTTATCCTTTTAGAGTGAGAGAGGAAATACTATTTTTCTGTACTCTCAATGGGGATGAATGAAACTGTTGATGATTGTGTGGAAAATTCTTCCTTCAAACTGGCAAAAAATGCGTTTCAATGTGACCAGTGCAAGGTTTGCTCGAAAGGCATTTTTGTCACATATGGCGTAGGACTTCAAATCGTAGGGCATCAACATTCCTGAATCTTTCTCAACTTGGGATACTTCTACAGTGGAGTTTCCTGAGTTGTGACTGTAGTCTGTAACATTTCCCAGATGGACTACTTTACACTTTGAAGTGTTAAAGGTAAATCCGTTGTCATCCACTCAGCTTTGAAATTCAGTCAAATCCTCCTGAAGTGCCAGTATATCCTCTTGGTTGTGTATCTCTCT